TTCTCAAAACTCAAAATGCTGGAGGCAATCTTCTTTCTGTTTAATAGTGTGAAAAGAGATCGTAAGTGTTTTTTTCGGTAATCTTGAAATTGGCATCGTAGTAACATTTATTTACAGTATAGTGGGTACACAATCGTTTATTTGAATTGCCATGTGTACTTGTGGTCAGTATTTTAGGTTTACAAACAGTTTAACATTATTTTCTTTTAGAGTAATGTCCGTATTATTATAATACTGACCATTAATATGTTTACTTCGTTGAAACCGTAACCAACATAATATTAATTAGTAACATAACAGTGCCACAATTTGTTTTGTGATTTAAAAACTGTCCTGTTGCTACCCCATGTTTGGTTACCATGTTAAAAGTGTACAAGCGGTTTGACATAGGCCTATTACAACAGTCAGACCAATAGCGTTGGCCTTCATAGGTCACAAAATTGTATTTTTATAATCTCACTCATAGATTATGGACCTTTACTATACAGTTTCTTAGTGCCCCAAAAGCTATACTTGTTATAATCCAAAGCCTATCTGCTCAAAATACGTCCTTTTATTGCATTCGTGACTGGAACTAAATCGACAAGTAAATTACATTCTAGATTAAAAACAATATCAACAAATAACAATCCAAAACCACAACAACAATGAACAACAATGGATCAGCTGATACATGGACATTATGTTGAAAAACAATCTGTATGAGTTCCTCTATCATATGGAATTGAAATGTTGAAAGTATTTATTTAAGGAACTTTTGCGTTATTTGTATAGATTACGTGTGTATCGATTGTTTATTATCGAAGTTTCATTGGCCGAAAGTGGGATTGGACTAAGTGGACCCAATCGTCCGGTAATCTGTCTCTTCAATCCAGAAAACAACTGTGGATAAAGTGACCAGATAATGTGTTACAACTCGTGATAAAATCTCCGCAACACTTGGTGAGGTTGACATGGTTCAGTGTTTTATTTATGGCAACACTGGATGGACAAGCAAATCACACACTGTCCGGTTCCATGACAAAAATTTGACGAAGAAATAGTCAATAAGTATTATTGTTACTTGCAAAGCATATAGTAAGTTATAGTGGGTTTTGTTGTTATAGGTGTTTGGACATTCTCTCAGCTTACTAAAATATTGTTGAGGATAAATGACGGGTGTTACCTAAAACGAATAGTTGTTTAGTATTAAGATTTTCAACATTGCAAAACATTAGCCTTAAAATAATAATCGTTGCAGTTTGGTTTTCCAAAAAAATCTTTGTAGTTTGTATCAATCAGATTTATTCCTCAAGCTATGAATATTGATTTTATAATTTTTGTAACATCTGACGAATGATAAAAAAATGCTTTTAATGCAAAAAAAAATAATATCTTCTAAATCCAATCTGAGGTTTTACTATAAAGCTATTTTACAAAAAAATAAAAATAAAATGGTTGTTTTCGTGTATCTGATTTAACCATCTTGAAAAGCTACTTCGTTAGGTAAATATTTAACAAAAGTGTGCACACTAAAAGCGTATATTATGCTCAGTCTTTGACGGGTGTAATGAATATATTAAGATTTACGCTTATTGGCTCTCATTATATTACCCTGTAGTAAAGGTCCTACATGATTTCGCGTTTAAAAAAAAAAATCAAGACTATTCTCTTTTTCAAGACTCTCTCCCGACTATTGTAGAATTTTTCACGATTTTTAAAAAATATCCGACAATTCAATTTATTACAGTTGCATTAGTTTATGAGTTTTGAGTTTGTATTAGTTCAATGTTGTACCTATTGTTCTCCATTTTTATCTGTAAATACATATTTCAGTATTTTCTGCGAAATAACTTGTCTAAGGCAGTATCATTCATGTGTGTATGTTATATTATGATTTTTTAGTAAAGTTCGTCATGGAAATCAACGGTAGATGGTCATATATAGTCATGAAAATCAATGACAAATTTTCTGTGGACACCCTGTAGTAACACGTTATCAACCATTTGTAAGACAAGTGCTGGGTCTTCTACAAGCACAGCGCCTATCCTCGTGGCGGCTACCTGTTGGAGTTGGAATGCCACATTACAGCTCTAATGGTCTGTTGGGAAGTGTTTTGCTATAGTCAGACCCACCCCCTTGGGGCGGTGGACTTAACCAACCCTCGATTTAGGAACCGATTCATTCGCTTTATCGATAGTCTAAACGACCCCCCTAACTAAATGTTTATTTCTTTATAACACATATTAAAACTTCTTTTAACTGGTTGTGTAGTTTGTTATTTATTTTTTTCAATGGATCTTTGATATTGCCTTTGGATCTAAAATGCTAAATATAAAACACATTTTCATATTTTTGATAATACTGATTCTTACATGTATGTAACAATCTAATCATAGTTTATTTCTTTATAATGAAGATGTGATCAGGATATTTTAGCCTTATGAATATTTGTAATGAAAATCTAGTAATGAACCAGCAATACGTTAGTAAACATACATCGAATTTACAAATTAATCCTATCTATATTCTTTTGAATAGACATTCCTCAACCAATAATCAAAAGAAGCTATTCTCTAAGGGTTTTTCTTAAATATTGAACATTTAAATGTAAGCCAGTAGTGTATCTCCATTCAGCGAACTTAACAAAAAAAACCATAAGGCATAATCGGATCCAGGAATCGATGAAATGTATGTTATTCAGCTCAGTTATCCTAGGAAGAGGTTGTTCTTTGACTCATTAAATTCATAAAAAAAAATTTCAAACCTTAACACTGCTTTGTTATTTCTTGGATAATGGTTTCTCCTTTTGGCATTATCCTTTTGGCATTATTTACTCATTGCATCGGGAAATTAGGCCCTTTTTAGGACGAGTCATAGTAGCGTAGTAAACCTCATGGCAATTCCCTTCCCTTCCCAAAAGTCCATTCAAACAGAGTGTCCCCAAAAAAACTGAACAGCTTTGCAGTACCGTACTTGAAGTGTAAATATTTCAATAACAGGCCTATACAAATGTTTTTAAATATAAACTAACACACATAAGTTTTTCTGGATACAAGTTTAATTAAACAATTTCAACATGGCTTCCATTAATGGCAGAAAAGTGTTTGGACATTCTCTCAGCTTACTAAAATATTGTTGAGGATAAATGACGGGTGTTACCTAAAACTAATAGTTGTTTAATATTAAGATTTTCAACATTCAACAGAAAGACAGTCAATACGGTTAATTAAAATCCATATTTTTTAGCCCCTGAGCTAATCTTGTGACTAAATCAATAAATAAGGTTACCTTCGTCAATCAGCTCATAGAAGTTGAAACATTGTTACGGCCGTTTCAGCATATCCATGCCATCATCAGACGTTCAGCCAAGTGGCGTCGTTAATATACAAAAACACAAACATGTGTACGTCGCGTGTGACAGTTTGTGTTTTTGTATATTAACGACGCCACTTGGCTGAACGTCTGATGATGGCATGGATATGCTGAAACGGCCGTAACAATGTTTCAACTTCTATGAGCTGATTGACGAAGGTAACCTTATTTATTGATTTAGTCAATACGGTTAACTCTGACCACACTCCATGTTGCATTTCATCAGTGATGTTGCTGAAGGCTGCATTGATTTTAAATTTCAATTCTCCAACATTGGAGATTTTCGGCTTGTAAACATGGTTTTTGACAAAACCCCAGACGGAAAAATTACATTGTGATAGATTTTGTTTCAATGTGATATTCAACACACTGCTTGCACGTTGACGTCTGCCTTACTGTAGGTTATGTTTTGAAGTTTAAAGCGTTGAGTGACAGCAATGATCAGCTGATACACGGAAATCATGTAAAAAAAAACTTTATGAGTTCCTCTATCATATGGTAGTTTCAAAAATGATCTATGGATGCTTAAATAGATTGTGCATTTTTTACACCCTGTATTATCACCGAAGTAAAACAACCAATCCAATTCATTATTCGTCAAATCCTGCTTATTTTCTCCTATTGCTTCAGGAAGTCAGGCATTTCTCAAGTCACTAACTTGACATAGTTTACCCAATGGTTCCCAGTCCGAACGTCCACTCATCATAGTCACCGACGCGAACTTACAAATCTAACAGTTCAGCGTTCACATCTTGATCACCCTTTTCCCACAGCTGTCGACCATTGTGCTTTAATTGAATACAACGTTGACTCCCACAGTTGACAAACTTCTAAGAATTGGTTCCCAGTTTATTGTGACTCTTCCGTCCACTAGGTCTCACGTTGGCGGCTTCTAAATCGCTTTTTAAACGTGTAAAAAATATTATTGCTCTTGTTATCCGGTGGATTCTCTTCCTTCTTTATCGTGACAAGCGCGTGAGTTGTGGAGCGTGTGTGAGAGAAATGGGTAGGGATAAATCTAGAGTATGAATAGTAAGATCGTTGCAGTTTACAAGATTAGTTTCCCTAGTCGTAAGACGTGGTTTGGTGTGCGTTAAAGTAACAGGAAAAATTCTGTCTTGAATCGGAAGAAAAATTAGCATGAGTTTAAGGATGTAAGGATAACTCGAATTAATTTCAACCCTGTGCTTCAATTGATAAGCTATTCTGGTCTACAAACTACCTTGAGTCCATAGATGTAATTTCTTTGACAATCCTGCAGCAAAGAAGATTCTTCTGAAATTTACCCCAATTACATTTGCTTTTTGTGCACAAACTAATAACCGATTTCCACCCTCAAACATCCGAGACGACTGAAGTTCAAATACTAAGATGAAACATAGCTGGTATAATTTCAAGAAGAAACTGACGTTGTTGGAATCAGAAAAGAAGAATGAACACAACCATCACATACCAGCATTAAAAAAGCAACACACAGAGTGTTCTTATAATAAGGAAAATTTGCTAAAAGCCAAGGTCAATTGATTTTACAGAATAATATAGATTTGTTCTTACACCATTAGGTGAACACCTTTTACGTCTACGTCAGCTTAAGTCTTCTGGATTCCAATATTCCATCATACTGACTTTCTTGGATTTCTTTTCAGAACCAAGCCCTGGCCCTGATCACCAACCGGGAGTCCAGAACGCCGCCTGAGTCGCCAGCCTCCATCAGGTGTTCCCCAGCGCCGCCGCCTCCACCACCGCCCCCAACTGCCTCCACACCTCCGACGACGGCCCCCGGCCCTGGCTACCCTCCGCACCTCACCGACGACGCTAAGAATGGAGGTATGTATCTCCTTGAAGTTGAAATTGGCTTGCACACTTACACTTCCATGCTAAACGCTCTAAATTAAATTTGCGAACAATCTCAAAGCAAAGAAATTAAATTCTTACCCTCGTGTGCAGCTTAAATCTTCTAAAGAAAAGTGACTGCAACTGATTTCGTTGTAAGCTCTGAGAATGTCACCCTTACATGGAAACTAGTCAGCGTTAATTATAAATGTTATTTTAGACTGCGTACGGAGGTATAGCTTTGCAGTGTAACTATTTTTACTTAAGTGAGTGATGCTGATATGCATTAACAGATAATTCAGCTTAATCTGTTTGTATATTCTTTAAATGACGAGAAGCGGGCCTGCAATCGATTAAAATCAATTTCATCATACCAACCGTCCATATATTACGGAGTGTCAATATATTATTGAGGATTCAATACAAATTCAATGTTAAACGTTTGATCAATGCACTTCGTTAAATAACGGAACTTAGTAAATAAATGCAATTGGTTATGAGGTAAAGACACTTTTTAAACATTTGACAAAAACACCAGCTGACTCTGGCACAGCATCACATGTAGCAACAGTCTATACACATCCGTCCGTCTGTCTGTCTGGCGGATTGCGACTCCCCCTGTATAATCCCAGCCCGTTCAGCTCAGTCTTTAATTCTCCAGACTAATCCAGCTTTGGAATAAAAGAGCTCTACTACCCATCCTGCCGACATTTCTTACCCACTTCACCTCCTTGTGACGGTTCTGTGTTAATGTTCGCTTTCGATAAAAAATACATGTCTTGTCGCTCTATTAATGTAAATCTGCATATACAGAGTGTCCCGTAACTCTCTACTAATGTGTTAAGGGCATTGTTCCTGAGTAAGAAACATATCTAAAAATAATATGTAAATTGTCCAAAATCCTTAGTCACTCACAAAGCCGCAATTTTTTTTCAATTACTATTTTTTTTTTAAAAAGAAATTAAAAATACGAGCCAAATAATTTTCCCTCTTTACATTCGGTCATACAATATTTGATTTCTTCTATAAAAAGTTTTTGTTCAACACCCTTATTTAAGTGTAATAGTAACTTTAAAATATATTTTCAGTTACATAAAAAAGTAAATTTTAGGATTAAATGTTTGAAAGTGTATTCCGGATGGGTGAATTAAACGCTTTTTTATATTTTTTATACAAATAGCATATCTTGTAAAATGTGTTTTTAGCTTGTTTTATGTGTTTTTAGTATACTTTGAAACGTGGTACAACAGGCCAAAATATTATTAACAGTAAAACAAAAACCACATCAATAACAAAACGCAGGCAATATAGCATATTCAAAACCAACTATCGGTGAAAAATAACACTAAAACACCCCCAGAATTGCAAGATGATCACGGACCACCAACCTAACTATGCCAAGAGTAGGGAACGAAACAATTCAAACTTATACTGTGACCAGATCTATCTGATCCAAATTAATTATTTGGGGCTGAGTTGTTTGAATTTCCGGATAATCCTCCAACCCCCCCCCACCCCACAGCCCTCTCAGGGGCTTAACTTTATCCCGGGACACGTCATCGTGCCGGAGTCAACCTCAACCTAGACTCAGTATCAGCTGATGTCGAAGTTTTAAAATTTATTCTAATGTCACATTTACAGCGACAAAATTTGTAGATTTTTTTTTAAATATTGAGGCTTATTTTTGAACACTGTAATTTGGCGAATTCACAAACACGGTTGATAGCATTTTAACTCGCCCTTAATGTTTAAGTGTATAAAATGATTTATTTACAATATCTGGAGAATTCAACATTAAATATATTATATGAGTTAATTGACAATATTAATGATATAAATTATGGATTGTTAACCGCAGCTACAAAAATGTATTGAAGATAACATGGGCACTTTCTGTAGGGCTGTAAGGCGGACACGGGGTTTAATAATAAACAAAAACATTAAAACCATTGGACTAAAATAAAAGTTTGTCCGTGCACGCGCTTGTATTAGAGTATAGAATTTTCGTAGAAATGTTTTTATAATTATGTTAGGATTAATATTGTGTATACACATTGAAAATTTAAAAAAGTGATATATAGATTCTAATTTTTGAAATATAAGGAAACCTTGAGGTAGCCTCATGTGTCGAAATGTGCATAGAATGATCCTCTAACTGCATAGAATCGTGTCCATCCCATAACAAATTTGACGAAGGCCGTTAAACAGTGTAGGCCTACTTAATACTTCGTGAAATGTAATAATTTTCCTTTAATGAAATTTGACAGTAAAACTGTTTGTTGCCACATGTCAAGCTGATAAATCTTGGTTTGATTAATATGTAGTTCATATCGAAAGGTTTAGGTTTGAATTAAATTGAACTACCGTCATTTACGTACTCCAAGCTTAGAATAGACATGTCTAGAGTGTGCTTTTAGCGAATTTCCCATATAGGGAATAAGCTATTACCGTAGTACTCATGGTAAGACCTGGACGCGGGACCGATTTTTTTTTCGTTTTGAGGTCCCTAGAGGCCAAAAACACCATCCGTTCAAATTCATATATATATATATATGTGTGTCTGTTAGCACGATAACTCGAGCAAAAATGATCCGATTTTGATGAAATTTAGTACAAACGTGTAAACCTACGTTTATTCGAACGAGTTCGCGATCCAGCATGATCGGACCATGGGAACGGGGGTTTACGGGGGGTTTTATGGGGTAAAAATAGGTTTTTCCCATTTTTGACCCAAAAAACATAAAATTTAGCAATTTCTTTCCAAACCATTTTGTAGAGCTTAAAAAAAAACAAATAATTTAGTATATTGAAGCGTTATTATGCGCCTAATGGTTACGGAGAAAATTCAAAAAAATTGTAAATTTAAAATTCCCATGTTATTCTTATGGAGAATAAGTAAACTGTTGTAGTTTGCTTGTTTATGAACATATTTTGATCAAATTTGGAAAACGTTTTTATTTCTTACTAACTATTAACTTTTTACAAAAAAAAAAAAAAAAAAAACAGTTTTACCCTCCCTGATGCAGCAAGCCTAAGTACTTGTTAGACTAATTCTATTTAAATCGGGAATAAATGTTATCTTTTTAAGTAGACATTTCAGTGTAAATCAAATCAGTCAAATGGAAATTCGCTTAGTCTGCAGGTTTGCTGCGGCGGGGGTATTTAGGTTATACAAGCTAGTAGTATTACTTCTATCATTGTACAAGCCCATTTATTATCCCCCTAGACCATGACTGTGGCCAGCCCCATTAGATATTTATAATTGCTGTAGATATACGCATTTTCCAGCCTTTAACTCCGTTAGAAGTGGAAAGGAGATGAGGCGTGAAATAAACTACCGTTTTGACGCTTGTTAAACACGCTATATTATATACATACTGGTCGATGACTTAATTGTAGCTTGGGCTGTGTCAAGTAACACAGACTGGCAACAATGATTGGCCAACAATGGGTGATTTTAGAAATATGTAACGTACAGGACGATGAAAGAAGTTAACTTAAAGTGATGTACTTAAGAATAATCGAACAAATATTCTCACCCTAACAAATCAATTAAACACCTATAATTTTTGTTTTTCGTATTAATATTAAATTAAAAATGGTAATAGCGAGTCAGTGCCACCGTCAGCGCGAAGAATGCTAGGCAGCGTTTGGTTCACTGTCAACGCTGCTTCTAATATTATATACTTCAGGTCAGTCAATTTGTGTCCCTTATGGCTAACCGTCCCAAGTTTTGTCTGATCCATGCATTTGATTACTATAATAACGGGTAATTTAAGGTAAAAAGGGGGATTGATACACTCTTAAAATATATAAATATAAATAAAGTAATTCTAGTTGTAAAACACATAATTCGGCTGCAAAGGTATCCACAAAATATGTCACGCCCACAAATATGTATTTAATAAAAATATGGGGTGGGGGGTGTATTTTACTTGAATTATAACTTTTCTATGTACAATAATCTTCATCGTATAAGTCTTGGGGTAAAACAATAGTGTTATTTTTGGTGCATTTTAAGTGGTGTAAATCTGATACAGACCTAAAGGATCAGAAACCTCCATCAAATAGGTCGCGTAAGTGCAATAAAAGGACACAGTAGTGGTTTTATTAATGGACTATTGGGTTACCGTTTATATCAGTAACAAACCCATCTCAAATCAAAGTGATGTAACTACCTAACACTTACGTAATTTTTTTTAAATAAAATATCCCTATTCCAAAACAAAATTACTAAATTATTAGTGTTGCGAGACAGGTCAATCAATATTTTTTTTATCTGAAGCCTCAATATAAAAGTGTTAAAATAATAATGATTGGCTTGTCATTAGAATACAATCAAATCCCCGAAAGTCTCAAATACACGGCTGTAGTGGCGTTTGGCGCGGATGTGAAGAAGGGTGTTTACTGGTCCAGTTGGGGATTAAGCGAGCATGCATAGAGAAACTCATCAATCATGAGCAGATAATCCTCTTTACCCCCTCCCTTACCCCTCTTAATCCACCCCTCCTTAATCCGGCCGCCGTTCTAGTTGTACTGGCAGTGTCGAAAACGTTGATCCGATAAGTTGACTTTAAAGTGAAACTTTATGGTGTTTTTCATCTTTGTTTGAGTTTTATGGATTTATTGAGGTAAACCACCAAATGCAGTAAAACTACCTCAAATTACCGAGATGTAAATAAGGTACTTGTTTCCATATATTCACGAAAGAATTTTCTTTTTGTAATGTTTTTTTCCACAAATGCATGTGTGAATTTGTGTGTAGACTTAAAAGCGACGAAATCTTTGTTTTAAAATTTTAAATAGTATGCTCTGATACGAGTTACTGAGGATTTAAGGTGTCTTTTTCTTATTTTGCAAACAACGAATATTTTCCACCATCGAGATTTAAAAAGCATTAATAAAAATGGGAGCTAGTTAAATAAAAAATTCAAAAGTATAACATTGATTATTACAATTTGACAGCTGAAATTAAAGATTATCCCTAATTAATC